ACAGTAGAAAGAGAAGAACATTCCAGGTTCAGAGCTTCCACCACACTCTTCATTGTTCCCATTTCTATAGTTCATCCAGGACACTCAGCCCAGACCTTCAGCCCTGATCCTGTTCTGTATCTTTCTCCCCAGGTTAAGGGAGATACTAGGAGTTAATGTTGCTGGAGCAGCTCCCTGTAGCATGGACGAAGGGTCTTGAACAACCCTATTAAGAACTCTGAAAAGATATTTCTACAGCAGCACAGCTGCCAATGGTCCTTATGGGTATTATCAAGACTAAGTTTGGGCTTGGTAGGGGTTGAATCAACTTCTACCTGCCAGCCTGGAATGGTAAGCATATTTCAGAGCATTGCCTCCACTGGAAAAGCAGGTTCCTTAATTAAATCAATTTGAAACCAGTTTGAGGGCTCTACAACTGCTATGCTAATTAGGCTTTGATATAGAACATATTCATAGTCTTTACCTTTCCCGTTCATCTCAATATATTTGTAAGATCGAAAGCTTTTTTATAACTGCATTTACTATAAGGTAGAAAAGGATATATTCTCAAATATTCAAAACCACGGCTTCCCATACTCATGTTTTCTTACTCTTTTACCTTTATTTTTTAAAGTATGATTCATTCAATTCTAGAGAAGCCTCCACTTTAATAACATTATTGTAAGGAGTCTTACTATTTTACCATATATTTTATTGCTGAGTCAGCATTTGTCTTACCTCCTCGGTGAATAATCAAAGAAGTCTCACTTCCAATAGGACAGTCCTTAAGTATATCCACTACTTCTGTATGGCTCAAGTTCTGTACATTCTGCTGGTTGATCTCAACAATGAGGTCCCCTTCACACAGGCCAGGGCATCCCTGAATGTCAAGTATTTGTTTCACCCGTTGTCCTGTTGGACTGTCGGCAATAGTGAAGCCAAAGCCCTGGGCACCTTTCACAATGGTTAAGGTCATAAGTTCAGCTTGCGTGGCTCCTGATGAAGCCATAGACACATTGTCATCATGGACGGGTGGTGGATACGTGCCATCTAGCTGGCCATCAGCTGGCATGGAGTGCAAAGAATGAGGCGGCCGATCTGTGATATCTGGAACTGACTGTGAGGTCCGAGAAATGTATTCCAAATAGGTTTCGTAGTTATGTCTTCCATTGACCATCACCGGAGGTGGCCTCTCCATTATTGCAAGGGGTGGCACCATGCTGTTAGCAGGATCTTCAGGATCAAAGGGCAAAGGGTAGCCACGACACAACACCAAGTTGACACTCTGACCAATAGGAACAGACTGGAAAAGTTTGACAACATCTGCATGAGTGTGTCCAAGGACACAAACTTCATTTATATAGACAATGACATCACCTGCAAGGAAAAAAAGAAAGAGATTGACAACATGAGGTAAGTTCAATTAACGTCGACATAGAAAAATGGAATTATTTATGAGACTAGTGAAGGAGGTGCTCTGTTTCTCAGTGAGCAGTGAGAAAAATCAATTAGAATAATACTTAAATTCACTGTAGGTGACTCAAGGTTACAATAGGTCTGCCAACAAATATAATGAGCAAATGCTGAAAAAAAATGCTATTCAGTTATTCTTGAAGTTCAGAAACAGCTTTATATTCAGAAAGAAGGGCTCAAAAAGTAAAGGTTAGAAGAATATGTCTGTTGAAAAAGCATACATTCTGCGCTTCTTTTTCACTTTTATTTCCTTCTTTGGTGTAATTCAATTAATAGACTATTCAGACTATCGAGAAGTCATGTGTTTTGGTTGCAAAAGAAAGCACTGGTATATAGGTTTTTGGGTTTAAGTTCATTGAATCTACTGCCTTCTATCTTTTTTTTGTTAATAAAAAATACTTATCTATTTTTTTATGTTCTTCATGATAGTGTATATGAATGAATGAGGCTCTCACCTCATGCTAGATAGGATTTCATTATGCCGTGATCCTCCTCTACCAGCACTTGATCTTGGGCATGTGTCAGGCCAATGAATGTCATGTGTCAGGTCAATGAAGCTAATGATTCAAACTCATGGTCTGCCATGTGGCTTCCAGTTCTGCAGTTCAGTGCCACTGTCGATGCCACACAGTGCCTACGCCACTGAGACTGGGCCTTGCTCATTTATGCTTTTCCATTTGAACCAGGTGCAATTGCAAAGCTTCTAGGTATATACAAGTTAAGGTCAAGAGCATAGGCTTCAGGATCTTGGAACTAGGTCCATATCCTGGCTCTGCAACTTAATAGCTATGTGATATTGAACAAGTTACTTACCCACTTTGAGTCACAGTTCCTCATTTGTAAAGTTGTTGCTAGGATGAAATGAGATAATGCAAGAAAAGTGCTCGACACGGTCCTTGGCAAATGGTGAGGGCTCAATAAATGTGAACCATTATTAATATTATTATTGTTAAAATAGGATGGAAGAGATTTGGTATCATGGTTTCAAACAGGAAGCTGCTTTAGGCTTATACTCTGATCTTACATAAATTGATATTTCCATTGATCATCTTTATTAGGTCCTTTTTCCCCAATGCATTGTCACAGATTTTCTGAGGTCTACTGGTTAGAAGTTAACATTATAAGGCAAGGAAGGCACTGAATACAAATTATGGATATAACGTATATTCAGGAAAACCATTTTTTCCTCATTAAAATACAGGAAAACTGGATGTTTGAGATAATTGTTTTTAAAATTTTCAATTATGTATGAATAACAATTTTATTTTTGGAGGACTGTTCTATCATGGATTGATATTTTTATCCTCACAAATCATAATACTCAAAAATTGAACTTACAAATTGAGATTGTGCTTGACTGTGCTGATATGTATATGAGGGATGAAAAGACGTGTTTTCACAGATTGTCAAATGAGTAACTCAAATGCTCACAAGTTATCAGGACAATTCTGAAACTAGCAGTGCGAATGGCTAGGGATTTCATTCTGAAACATCCTTGCAAACATCAAACAAGAAAAACAGGGCTGAACTTTTCAGAATTTAATACTTTTTCTTTCTTTCTTTTTTTTTTTGAGAGTTTTTTTTTTCTTGCTATAGGACACATGTGCTTGCCAGACAGAGAGAGACAGAGAGACGGAAAGTGAGAAATCACCTCCCCCAGGAGGGATGGCCACACTACCTTCCCTTCTCCTCCATTCTCGTCTCAGGATCTTGGGCATGCACGCACATGCACCCGGCGTGAGTTTAAGCCACCAGGTCTGGGACTCAAACCGCGGTCGACTATATGGGAGTCCAGCGACATAGCCATTACACTAACTACTGGTCTCCAGAATTTAATACTTTTTCTGATCCCTTATTGGTATATATATAAAATAATTTCTCCATTAAAAACACTTAAAATGAATAATTTTGTGAATAAAAGAATCCTAAGTAAAGTACCCTCAACCACACTGACTCAGTTAATGATCACTCTTCGCAAACGCTAGAAAACTATTTGAAAGTGTCAAGATATAGACAGAAAAGCCACCGACATTTTCAGGCATCTAGCTTAGGTTTGCCTCTGGAAATGCCACACCCTATGTGACCAGTCAGATGGAACTTCACTCATCTATTGGAAAGGATACCAATGCAATGACTGGGAAGTTGGACCAGAACTCAGAACTGAATTAGAATAGGCATCCCCTCTCGGCTATTTTAAGTCATTGGACCGGGGCAGCTGGGGATGCTTTGGGCATCATTTCAAATTGACTCTGATTTCTCAGTCCTAAAGAAGTATCTGATTTAGATAGGCTATTTTTTTCTCCTCCTACCTCTTCTATTTTTAAAGTTATTAGGATGTATTTTACACATTTAAAAGGTTGAAAGAATAATAAACATTATCATCCAACTTAGTGATTAGAACATGGCTTGTATTAGTTGAAACTTCCTTGGCTAACACCTTTCCCTCAACTTCTACTTTCTTCTGTCTGCCCTTTCCAAAGATAACCTTTGTCTTGTATTTGAGGTTCATTATTCATGTGTACTTTACATTTTATGCCATGTTTAGGTACCCATAGAAATAACATCTACACAGTATTTAATCCCTAAATAATGCACTGTATTAACCTCTGAAAAACATTTTTACATATTCTACATCTTTTATACATGGTATAAGTTTTAATATTAAGCAATTCCCTTCAAAATAGATTTGTAATATTTATGGTTTTGATATGTACAACTGTGGCTCATTTATTTTCACTGAAAAATTGCATCTACTAGTTGCCAATATCACTATTTGTTAACATTTATTCATTCCCTGTTAATGAACTTTGAGATTCTTGCTACTAAATATAATTCTGCTGTGGACCTATTTCCATCGCTCTTGTGAATAAATGGGAGAGTTTTTCTGAGGTATGTATTTTGGCAAAGAATTGCTGGGTGTGGTCTATGTGTGTCCTCAACTTTGTTAGATAATGGCTAATGACTGACAAAATAGGTCCTGTCAATTTACACTCCCATTGGTCGTGTATCTTAATTTTTATTGCTCTTCATCTGAGACAATGCTTGGTATTCTATGACTTTATCTTTCCTAATTTAAAGGGTGTGATCGTGGTTTTAATTTGCACCAGGTTGCTAGTGAGGGTATGCCTCTTTTCATATGATTCTTGGCCACTGGGTTTTCTCTTGTTTATAGCTTATGTCCTCAATATTTCTATTCAGAGAGACTTTTTATTTATTTTTTTCACATTGGCTAAATACTTTCCTTCTTTCTTTTTCTTTACTTATAGGGCATGTGGCTTTGCTGGAGAGAGAGAAAGAATGAGAGAGGAAGAAATCAACCCTCAGGGGTATGGCAACACAGCAATCCCTTCTCTATACTCCTCTTGGGATTCTGGGCATGCAGCACATGTGCCCAGCATGATTTTCAAGCCATGGCGTATGAGACTCAAACTGATGAGTCAGTCATGTGGAGTCCAGCCACCTTAACTTCTGTACCACCTGCCAGCCTGATATTGACTATTTTAAATGTCCACCTTCATTTTTTTGTTGTTGTTGTTAATCTCCTACTGTCAGAGGACATGTGCACTCAAAGGGTCAGGTGGAAAGAGAGAACACCCCCCAATGGAACATGGTCATAGCACAATCTCCTTTCCTAAATTTCCTCATCCTGTCAGGACTTTTCTCTTGTTTATAGCTTATGTCCTCAATATTTCTATTCAGAGAGACTTTTTATTTATTTTTTTCACATTGGCTAAATACTTTCCTTCTTTCTTTTTCTTTACTTATAGGGCATGTGGCTTTGCTGGAGAGAGAGAAAGAATGAGAGAGGAAGAAATCAACCCTCAGGGGTATGGCAACACAGCAATCCCTTCTCTATACTCCTCTTGGGATTCTGGGCATGCAGCACATGTGCCCAGCATGATTTTCAAGCCATGGCGTATGAGACTCAAACTGATGAGTCAGTCATGTGGAGTCCAGCCACCTTAACTTCTGTACCACCTGCCAGCCTGATATTGACTATTTTAAATGTCCACCTTCATTTTTTTGTTGTTGTTGTTAATCTCCTACTGTCAGAGGACATGTGCACTCAAAGGGTCAGGTGGAAAGAGAGAACACCCCCCAATGGAACATGGTCATAGCACAATCTCCTTTCCTAAATTTCCTCATCCTGTCAGGACTTGGAGCATAGTGTATAGTGTTTAACCACTACACTACAGGGCTGGCCCTCTATGTTCATTCTTTTTTATTTTTTAAAGGATTTTTGCTATAGAGCATATGTGTTCACCAGAGAGACAGAAAGCAAGAAATGACACCCTAGAGGGATGGTCACACTCCAATCCCTTCCCCTCCATTCTCCTCTTGGGGTTTTGGGCATGCATGCACACACACCTGGTATTAGTTTCAAGCCACTGGGGCTGGGACTCGAACCACGGTTAACTACCTGGGAGTCCAGCAATGTAACCATTACACCATCTGCTGGTCTCCCCATTTTTATTCTTAATCCAATATTCTCTGAAAGTTTGGGAGGCTACTTAGTACAACAAAGATCACATTAGTTACGGAATCAAAAGACATTGGGCTGAGTTCCAGCTCCATCATTTTCTAGGTGTGTGACTTCTACAAACTAATTTAAATCCTCTGTGACTCAGATTCTTTAGAAGTAATGAGGAACAATAATATTAGCAACTTATTGTTCTATGGGAAATAACAAATGAGACCACATGGGCAAAAAGGTTGGTAAACTGTAAGCCATTGTGCAGAGATGACTGCTATTTCAATACTTCTTATCTGTCCTTGGTCATATTCTCCTATAAAATCAGGGCAGTCCCACCATGGTATTCCCACCACAGTTACAGTTAAAAGTGATTGGAGTATGATTGTGAAAATGACGGGTTTCTGAAAGGACAAGTGAAAAGCAAGCAGAG